ATATGTACATTGTGAAACATACATTAATACATTAACTACGTTTTTGTCAATTTACTATCTTTACAACTGTTAATTTGATCAACATTCCAGTTTTATAATTTAAAATTTAGTGAAATTATGATATAGTCGTATAAAAATATTACTTATTTATTATTATTGCTAAATTTTGGAAAAATGAGTGGGTCTTCGAGAAATGGTATAGGTACGTCACATAATTAGATTACATAAATTTACTTGAATATTTAAGGAATGCGATTGGGATGTCGTCATCATGTTCACTCATTCATATGATAAATGACTAAAATCAAGTAGCAAGCGTATTGCAATTATAACACTGATTTATTAATCTTTTCAAACGATTTTTAGCTTATCGATCTATAATGGAGGAAAAATTTGATGACAATGGGATTACAAGACGTTCAAATGATAGAATTAACAATTTCAATTCTAGTGAGCCGATGCTAAAAGATGTTGAAAGTGCTAGTTTGATTTCTCCTTTCGTATTCTTTACGGCCTTTACTGTGGCTGTCAGTGGATTTATGTTTGGGTAATTGCGTATATATAATATATATCTTTATCATATATCTTTATAATATATATTATATATATATATATATCTTTTAATTTTTTAATTCATAATTTTCTCATTACCTTATAGATACGATACCGGAATCATTAGTAGCGCCATGTTGCTCTTGGAGAAAGATTTTCCTATGACTTCTGTTACTAAAGGGCTTGTTGTTGGAGGTTTGAAAGGAGAAATATCATTTTTTGATACAATTTATTTGTTATTCACTTTTACCTGAATTTTTTTTTAGCCACAACATTTGGTGCAATTTTCAGTAGCATTTTTGCTGGTGAGAATATAAAATTTTTCTTTTTTATTTAGGTTAATTATATTGATCTCTGTATTTTAATTGACAGGTGCTTTATCTGACATTGCCGGAAGACGCATAACAACAATGGTTGCTGCAACGTTGTTTGTTTGTGGTGCATTAGTATTATCATTAGCGCCCTCATATTCGTCTTTATTGATAGGGAGGTTAATAGTTGGTTTTGCTGTTGGTTTGGCTTCAATGGTAGTTCCAATTTATATAAGTGAAATTTCTCCAAGAATTCATCGAGGTCGATTAGTTACGATAAATGTTTTGATGTGTACAGGTGGTCAATTAATTTCCTATTTGATTGCTACTGCATTTATATTTCAACATGGTTGGCGATGGATGTTTGGTGTTTCACTAGTTCCTCCATTTTTACAACTTTTATGTAAGTCGAAATCTGATTCATACTGTATATTATCGCTCCAACATATTCTATTAATGTTTTATATTCTGGTTTAGTTATGCCAATTGTTCCTGAAAGCCCAAGATTCCTTGTGAAAAAAGGCAGAACTGAAGAAGCAAAAAAAATTTTAGCAAAGATATATCCTGGTGCACCTCGTGAATTTTTAAATGATGGTAAATGAAACATCTTTGTTTCTTATGAAATCAAAAAATTTTCAATGTATCTTTTACAAATTGATTATTATTATATATTTCCAGAAATTGATGTAATCTATGAGACAATTGCTCAAGATGCCACAGGATCTTATAAACAATTATTTATTTACCCGAATTTAAAACCGCTTATTATTGCTTGTGGACTTCAGCTATTCCAACAGTTTTCAGGTTTCGATACGGCTATGTACTATGGTGTAAGTATTGTTGAAATAATAAACTTAATATTTAATTAATATTTAGTTAATATTTAGTTAATATTTAGTTAATATTGAATTAATATTTAGTTAATATTTAATTAATATTTAGTGAATTTATGATTCACCTATCTTATTTACCTGGTAAAATTTCATATAGGCCACTATAATGAAAATGGCTGGATTTACCAATATCAGAGATGCCATAGTATTTTCTATCATTGTATCTGCAACTAATTTTGCCATGACAGGTACGTCTAATCATGTTGCATATGTTGTATATTTCGTTAATTGTATATAAATTAGTACATTGTATATTTCAAAAATAGTTGTTGCTCTATACTTAATTGATCGTGTTGGTAGACGTCGTATACTTTTATATACTTTGTTTGGAACTGTAGTTGGTTTAGTTCTTCTTGGTATAGGTTTTATTTTCGTAACCGGTTTAGTTCCAAAACAAGATACTTGTGCTGATTATGGAACAAGATGTGGAGCTTGTTTGATTGATGATAGATGTGGATTTAGTAAATTAAAAGATGTTTGTGTGGACAAAACTTCACTTTCTTCAGATCAATTATACGGTTCTTGTCCTTCAACGAGTATTGGAGGAAATTGGTTTACATTGTCGTCATTGGTTGTTTTCGTAGCAGGTATGTTATATTATCAATATTATATTATCAATATTATTATCAATATTATATTATCATTTGAATATGTCAGTAATGGCTTCGTTTTTCTTTTTAGCATATGCATTAGGAATCGGCCATGCTCCATGGACAATACAAAGTGAAATATTTCCTTTAAATGTACGCGGTCGAGCAAACGGAATTGCTACAGGTAAAAATATGATCAAACATTTTTTTCTTTGATACATTAATAAAGAGTTTATAATTTATAATTCATGTTTTTATAATTCTACATTTAAATATGCAGCAACAAATTGGTGTGTAAATTTAGTGGTTGCGATCACATTCTTACCATTAACGGAATTAATAACAGTATCAGGTAATCTTGAAAAATCTAAACATTATTATCGTTACTGTAATTCATATATATGTGCATAAAACTAATTAACATTTATTTTCAACAAAAAGGGACTTTTTGGATGTATGGTATATTTATGATTCTTGGTTGGTTATTTGTTTATTTAATGGTTCCCGAAACAGCGGGAAAGTCACTTGAAGAAATTCAAGAACTATTTTTGTAAGTTAATATTTTTGTAAAATGGGTTGCTTAGTAACTCAGGTAACGCAACTAATTAGTTAAATATACGAATTAAATAGCATTCATAAACCCATTAGAAGTAGAGTCTAATAACTTAGATGCGGTATTATTGCCATTGACATGTAGCATAGACAGTAAAAACAATTGTTTTAAACTCAAAATAATAGCAATAAATAAAACCAAATTTAACGCAATCGATTTCATACCTATTTTATTTTATGCTGATATTAAAAATACATCATTTAGCATTTAAGAAAACATAAAATACATTAGAAAGACTCTTAAAGTATTACACATACGCAATTTAAATGTTAAAAAAATGATTTTTTTTTTTTTTTTTTTTTTTATTATTATTATTACTATTATATATTTTTTTTTTTGAAAAAAAAACTTACAACACATAATACAACCACCAAAAATATGCTCCATAAAATATGCAAGTTTTTTTTTTAATATCAGAATTTTAAAATTTACAAAGTTCAAAACACAACCAAATTAATCCATTGAATATACATTGTAATTTTTTGTAATAAAATAAGTAATTAAATAAGCTATAAAAAAAAAAGGAAATGTGCATGCAATGAAATTTTTTCTATGCCATAATTTTTTTCTTTTTACTTTCTTCAATAGCAGTTCTAAATGCTAATATAACCTTTGACA